TGTGTGTGTGTGTGTGTGTGTGTGTGTTTGTGTATATGCGTGAGAGTGTTTGTATGTGTGACACACATGCATACACATGCATACACAAACACTTTCACCTTACATATTCATCTAGAATTTCTTCAGAACCGACGAAATCTTACCTTTGAACTCAGCCTACCATCATTTCTTAGCCCCGCCCACACCGCCACCGTTCATGATCACACGGGTGGGGCACATAGTACATAGTATGTATAGACGCCCCAGAGGTAATTAATTAATTACCTTCGTCATTGCAGGCAATCCAAACCAACATTAAGTTAATGACGAGCACTTACGCTTGTGGCTATCACACATTGGGGACAGTCGTCTGTAACTAGCTGATCGAGGGCATTTCGTGGGTGAAAAGGGGTATTTTTTGGACTTCGCTCGCAACATAACAGTAGTTTGTTTGTTTGTTTGTTTTTTGTTTTGTTTCTTGTTTATTCTTGCCGATTTTGCTGCAAAATGGTTCTATCTTGCAAACAAATATTTCAACTCGAAATAGTATGGGTCTCACTTTATAAATGGTCTATATATGTGTAGCCGGACGATAAACTCATACAACAGCAGGAGAAAAGCAACCAGTGTGTGCTGATATTGCTCCGTCAGTCTTGTTTCCTCGTTCTGTGGAACGGCTGAGAACGAGCATGCACAGGCGAAGGATAGGCCAGTGTTCAGAAGTACTCAAGACAGAAGGTTCATTGATTTTATTTTATGCTTTTTTTCCGGCCCGCGGGTGGGGTTTTGGGGGAAGTGGGGGTTGGGAAAAGGAGTCTTTCCGGTACTTGAACTCGCTATTGAAGGGGTAGCACGGTGTCAACGAGAAGACGGAAGAGCGAAACCTGGGGCCACCGGGAGGATTGATGTCCCCTGTCTTGTGCCGGGCGCTCTCGATCAGCTTTCCTTTAACAATAACAGCCTGCTGGTTAGTTCGGCTTCAGGCGCGTTCCAGATCTCGCAGACTCCAGTGTAGGCCTCGCTCTTCCGTCCGACCTCTCGTTGACAGCGTGCCACCCCTTCAATAGCGTGTTCAAGTATCTTTGCCACTTGAACGATGTGTTTCATCCAAACTAAATAATAGTATGTGTCGCAGCGTGATGGAATCAGGCGCTCTTCAAAATATTGAAATCGGAGAAATATACGTTCTTTTCCAACAGAGCAGCAATTTCTATCGATTTTTCTTTTTTTTTAATTTTTCCTTTTTTGTCCTCAACACTTTTTACGTCCACTTGAAAACATATTTCCGCTTGGATTTTACTGGAATCAAATCAAAGGCATAAAAAATTGTATCGATTTTGCCGTTTCCAAGGGCTTTCAAGCTTTGTAAGTCATTAAACTTTGGAGCCATTTCTTCGCTAATTTAATCTCGGACATCAGGGGAACCCTGCCCATTTAATAGCATTTATCTTCACCCCCCCCCCCCCTCCCATTCAAGATAGATGGATATTTTCTCTTCAACAGCGTGACAAATGAACAAGTTTTAAGATTATACCAATAACTCCAAACGCAAAAAAATTGACCCGCGCTGATTCCAACGCGTCGTGACACATAATATGCTGATATCAGCTGAATTAAAATGGGTGAAATTCAATGCCACCAGGCCAACAGGTCTACTGTTCTTATTCAATTGACATGTTATGAATTACCACTAAGATATTCATTTGATTCCAAACGTTAAAAATATATTCACAACAGATGTCGATTATCTCAAGTAACCTCGCTTTCAATTTATATAAAAATTTAGTGAATATCTTTAGATCTGAACACAGGGGCTGGAGATTTTTTAAAAAGAAAGTATGATGCCCCATCTAATAGTAAGTCACGAATATGTATGCCTCTTTCTCCCTCCCTCTCTCTCTCTCTCTCTCTCTCTCTCTCTCTCTCTCTCTCTCTCTCTCTCCATGTCCCTAAGTGTAACACTTCGCTGCCTGTTTCTTTGAGTTCAGTTTCCACGCCGGGTCCTCCTCCAACAACTAAGGGCGGACTTCACTTTTCACTCTTATCTTGAAAATCTGAACAAGTTTCCGTTGCTTCTTTCTCTGACATCACACTTGTTAACTGTTAACGGAGGAGGCTAGACGTGAGTGTAAGTTTATCTGGCACGTACATCTCTCGCTTGCCGCCTTTTTACTTTGAAAGAGGACTCTGTCTCTAGCTTGTTTATGTGGAATGAATGTTTACAAGGTGATGGCTAACTTATTAATCTCAACACACTGGAGTCAGTATGAAGAACACGCTCTTACTGAAAGCATGGAATGTTCGATGACCCAGTTACAACACAAGGAGTGAAACTATTATTGTTTTAGGGGCATAACTCGTTTTCACCTCACAATATTTACAGTCAATCCGCCACTGTCCCATGAGAAGATAGGCTGAAAGTTCCAGAGATACAATATGGTACATCCGGTTATATATATTATTTTTTTTGCAATGTGGGACGAAAACGGGAAAAAATTATAGCTGCCGAAAATGGGACGAAAATGGGATGAGAAACGAAGATATGGGACGAAAATGGGTGCACTGGTTTAAGAAAGTCAGCTCTAAACTGCTCAGCTTTGGTCAATTATTGTTTGCAAACTTTGAATGAACTGTTTTTGAAATCGACGATAGCGTTGGCCTGTATTATAAGCGCTGTTTTGTTTTTAGTTTTGTTTATGAGTTCTAGATTATTCATCGCCATTCTGGTCTTTTCTCTTTCACTGTTCTCTCATTTTTTATCTTTCATTTATCTACCTCCTCATTTGTCCAATGCTTTCATTTTTTTCTTTATTTGCTTTTTTCTGTCCTTCTATTTCATCCTCTTTCTTTCTTCTTTTCCTTTCGTCCCTTTTTATACTATTTATTTTTTCTTTTCCTTCTGTTCTTCCCTTTTTCATCATCTTTTCTTCTTCTTTTCTTTTGTCTTTTTTTCACCACCATTTTTACCTCTTTTCCTTCTGTCCTTCCTTTTTCATCACCTTTTCGTCCTCCTTTCATTCTGACCTACCTCTATGATTTCTGTATGTTTGTTTCCGAAGCCAGAAGCAACAGTTTATGATAATCTGTTCTTCTTATGATGAAAGAGATGGAGTAATTTTTGCGACCTTTCTGGAGAAAAGGAAATGTTCCCCCTTGGCCTAGAAAGAAACATGAAGGCAGAACCAGAGGGTCGACCTTGTGTCCTTGTGGGAGGCGCTGTACACAAACATGTTCCTCACTTCGACCAGCTGGGAATACGGGACGGTTCCTAGCTAGAGACATCCAAAGATTTTGTCTTTGCTTTTTTGGGGGGATTTGAGCGCATGTTACCCGCAACTTGCACTGTGTATTTCCCGAGAAGCCGAGGATGTTTCTGAGTGTGCTACGTTCTGCAGGGGTAATCATAGTTGTAAAGCGCATAGCATGCTGTACAGCGCGATATGCGCTGTGTAAGAGCAATTATTTGTAGTTGTAGTGTTTTCATTGAATGTTGTTCTCTCCTGGTGTTTCACATAATAAATATAATGCTATTTCAAGATTTTGTTTACCAGAAATATATTTTGAAGGCCTATCTGCACCAATCGAGAGTCGTTTATTAACATCAAGCCAGAATCAAGCCAACTTATGTAATTGCTGAGTCATAAGTTATAATATGTTGATGTATGAGCGAAAGGCCTTTCAAATCAATAAAACCTTTTTTTAGAAGCTAAAACACTTTCATGATATCGATTCGAGGGCCAGGTAACATTTTATTAGGTGAAGCACCTGGGATTCTTTTTTTATGACAAACTTCGAGATATTTTGCTTGAGAGTTTTTTAATGATTTAAAAAAAAATTGAAGTTTCGGCTACTGATGTACTTGGAACATGTCTTTTCAAAGTCTTATAGAGCAGTCAAAAATTCGGGGCGCAACTCATCCTCAAATATCTCTTCAAAGGGTGAATTAATGCCTCCCATACTTTGCTCATCAGCTTGTATAAATTTGTCTTTACTTCATCACACTTTTCCACACTAATTGAGGCAAGATTAAACAATTTTTCTTCCTAAATCTACATATAATACTGTAAATCTCTGTCACGTGAAAAATGGGATTGTTTACAGCACTTCCCGCTTCTCACACACATTTTGCATACAACACATTGTCATATGGCCTACGTCATAGCTTAACAATCACACTCTTTAGTGGTAAAACTTGTTACAAGAAATTAATTTTATAGTGAAACGTTTGTTGTCAATTAAAGGTAATCTAAATATGCGTTCAATAAGCATAACGTCGTGTTCAGAAGAAAAAAAATGACAGTCTTGTTTTTAAATGCGATATTGCCCCAGCTAGAAACCACACACTTCGATTTTTTTATTAGTATTTACTAGTAAAAGTACCCGTTCTGCGAACGGAATAATAATGAAGAAGTTTTAG